ACAGACATTCAAAAAGCCCGAGCCTGAATTGATTCAAACTTTGCAGGTTAGTCTAACCTGGCTAGGCTAAATCAGTTTTGTAACCAGACAGACATCCCAGAAATGCAGGCACATACCTGCAGTGGCTAGAAGCCAAGGGGCACTAGGGTAGCCCTCCCTTCCTTCCATAGCATGGATGCGGGAGTGGGGACATGGCCAGACCCCAGCAGGAGCTCTGATTAGCCCAGCAGGGAATTGATAACAGTGTTTATCACCCAATTAAGAAAACAACAGAGGGACATTACCAGCTACTTGTTGATTCTGCCTGTTGATTCAGCATGTACTATAGTGAGTATGTGACCACATGCTAGCTAATACACAGACATCTCCTCAGCAAGGCAGAGGGGAAGGGGAATTCCTCCTTAGCAGGAAATGGTAAAGGGAGTGAGGAGCTGCAGCCAGGGAGCAGAGGGGAGGGGCCAGCCCTGCTGTGGAACAGAGAGCCCCACCCTACCCAGAGACTATGCCAGGATGCTGGGGGATTCTGGTTTATCTTAAACCAGCAAAAGGTCTGGGACAGATATTGAATAAACCGGTTTGAGCCAAATCAGTTTAGTCTGATACTACATTCAATCAGGTTTATCTCAAACTGGTTTCAGCCATTGTCAAACTGGTTTATGTGCACCGAACATCTGTTCTGCTACAGGTTTAAAGCAGTTTCTGATCACAAACTGATTTATGTGTAATGTTTGTTCCTAGCCAAAGGGTTCAGAGCTCCAGGGTCAGGGAGCAAAGGGGGAACAAAGTCCGTCTCACTTCAAGACTTGAAGAAAGCCTACTGGTTTTGGATTGTTTATCTCTTTGCACACTTGCTTGGTTCATTGTTTCTTTTACTGCGAGGACAAGGCTGTCCCATGGAAAATAAACCACCTGGAAACCTTGGACATGGTGCTACCTGGCCTTAATAAGGAAGCTGGATGAGTGACCTGCTTACAAGGACTTTTCATAGCAAAGGCATTTTTTTAATCAATGCAGGAGTTGTGTATGGAAATATTGTCCCAGTTAAGTATATCCTGCTGTCTTTACTGTTTTTCTTCCTCACTCTGTGACATAAGGATCAGTGTTCTCGAGCACAGAACGTCTCAGCCACTGCAGCATGAGCAGCCAGTGACAGCCTACTGTAATTACCCACATCAACAGGGAAAAACAAAAAAGCAGTTCCTAATACTCTGCCCCAAAGGCTTCTAAAGACTCAGTGGCATGGTCAAGGGAGGAAGGAGTAGCTTGCTACTCTGCTGTGGTTTCTATATACCCCTTGCTTGCTCCAGTCCATACCAATCCCAGAGTAAGCTTCCTCCTGTCCACACAACACTCAATACTGGGAAAAGAGTTAATTTCTAGAGGCCACCGAGCTGGTTGTAGAGGACTGAGGGGTTTGAGTCGCAGTGAAAAATTGGGGAAAATTGCAAAGATCAAGCCTTCATATAGGTTGTTTCCCACACCATTTATTTTCAGCTACTCGTGCAAGCACCAGGGGACATTTAAGACTAGTCTGCTTCATGTACAGCTATTATTTGTATATGTTGTGCAGTGTATGAGTATTGTTCTAGATACTTCTGAATTTGGGCAAAAATTAAGGTAAGTTTAGCTATGCTCACCTCTCCCCTACAGGAATTTAAACCAAATATCGACCCCCTCTTTACCCCTCAACCTCACATCAGAAATTGGGGAGCTCCTGAAAATTTGCACAGATGATGATCAATGAACTAGGCAGCTGGATACCAGCAGGGGTGAGAGACTAATATGACCTCAAGGCTCTTGCAAACCAAATTGGTGTGACAGTCCTCTGCAGAAAATCAATCAATAAATATATAAAAAATAAATTACTTCTTTTAGAAAAAAAAAGTTTGAAACAGGTTTCTTTCTTCTTGGGTGGTATTTCTCCTTTAAGGGAATAGATTAGAGTGTAGTTGTAGATGGATCACTGCATCGCATTAGCAATATTCTAGCACACGTGATCTCTGTGCACAATATACAGAAATTGGATCCTCCTGCTCTAGCTCTTCCTGAGGAATCAGAAGGGGAAAACAGACAGAAGAAAATAACTTTCTTGGACAGAGGAAAAAAAAGAACTTGCTGGCAGATATGAGTCTATAGTCCTCCACAGAGAGGAAGAGACAGCCAAAAAGGTGTACGCCTGGGCAGCTGTACACATGAAAACAACCTTTATTCCCAGCCTGAGTAGTCACAGACTAGGCAAAAGCCCACACGTTCCTTTCATCTCTCTCAATTCGAGTCACTTTGGTATTTTTAGGCAAGCGTAGGGGAAAATTACACAGGTATGCAGGGCTTAAAAACAGGACAATGGCATCTAGTTCTTAAATAGTGCTTTGCATAGATCTCAGGTACTTGGAATGGTCATGTAGGCCATATATGCCCATTAGGGGTGTGCAAAGCAGGTCCTATTCAATTTGGATTCAGCCCGAATCAGGGACAGTGATTCAATTTGTTGATTCGAATCACCGTCCCTGCTTCTATTTGGCTGAATCCAAATCTGAAAATTTGATGCTGATTCAGAGAACCAGCGATTTGGACATAGACACAGCTTTAAATGTCATTTCTACATACCTTGAGGTACCAGTGCAGATTGCAAATGATGCAATGATGGGGCTGATGGAGCATGGGAGTGTGGGAGGGCCCTCCACATGCTCGGCAGCCGGAAATGGACTGGAAGTACTTCTGGTCCACTTCTGTCTGCCAGGGAGCGTGCCGCCCCCCCCATGGTTTGGCACTCAGCTGCGGGGGGATCCTGAGTGCCCCCCTCCCCCAGACTCAGGAGACACCAGTTGCTGAGCCGGGGGGGGGGGGTGCAGGGGGGCCCTCCCTGCATGCTCTGCAGCAGACCTGGAAGTGGATCAGAAGTGTTTCTGGTCCACTTCCAGGTCTGCTGCTGATTGTGCTGGGGAGCCCCCCGTGCTCCTGTGGGATGCTCCATCCACCCCAGCGTCACAGCATTGATGAGCCACCTGGTACCTTGAGGTATGTAGGAAAAAACATTTAAAGCTGTGTCTATGCACGAATCACTGAATCTTTCCAAATCAATTCAGAGGATTCTGATTCAATTCAGAGAAATTCAAGGGTCCTTTGATTTGATTCAGATTTGGAGATTCAGCCGCCGAATCGAATCAGGGACCAAAGCTTCGCACAGCCCTGATGCCTAGTCCTGTTGGTGGAAATACTTCGATAGATCCACAAGGAGGCATGTAGCAGAGTCTTTACACTACTAGACAGGAATCTGTTATAGAACTGCTATGCTTTGGTAAATCAAAAGGTGCTATTTATTCTGCATCAAAATCAAGGCTAACCTATTTCTTGGTGCACAATAGCTTTAGTGTTTTTAGTCAGGGGCCCTCATTTTTCCTTGTACTTTACAAGCAGATTGCTATTTTTTCCGAGGAATGATCTGCATCATATACTGACTTTTGTGCAGTTCCATTCTCTTGAGCCATATTCATACCTTCCCTCTTTTGCTGTCAGATGATAGATCTGTTGTCTTGTAGTTAGCGGAGGATGCACCAAAACATAATAGGTTAGGTTTCTAATCAAAGTATGTGCCAAAGGTTTCCAGAAACTTTTACATGGATGCTTTTAAAGTAGATGTTACCATAAAATATATTAGCCCCTTCACCAGATGTTTTGGTTATTGAAATTAATAAAAAGGATTTCATCCTGTTTGAACTCTCTTCCAGGGTGAGAGTGTTTATTTTGAAGCTCTCTCCCTGTAAATTATTTTGTACAGTAACCTAACAGTCTGCTTTCCTTTTCTTTGATATGCTATATCTGTTTTGTTTCAGTGCTATTTTGAATCATGCAGAGGAAGGGAGTCTGTTCCTAGCTCTCCTTGCATTCCAGTCATAGGCTTCTGTATGTCTGTTATTTGTTCTGGTGGGAAGGTAATGTTACCACTTTTTAAACAAAATGCAAAAATGATCACTGATAGTTGTAATTTTAGTTGATACTGAAAAGAGAGATCATCTAGTTACAGTGGTAGTTTGGGGAGGGGGGGTGCAGTCTAGCTGCAGTCTTGATGATAGGCTAACATAGGGGCTTGGTCTGTGATGCCAGTTCTAATATGTAGTATTTATATAGGGCAAAGTGTTAAGACTGGACTTGTGCTTTGACCTTTAAGATATTTTTAGAGTATTACTTTCAGTGGAAAAGAAAGAGTCTCTTCAGTTTTTGGGCATCATGCAGAAGCTTATATACAATTATTCTCTTTTCCCCCTCCAGCTGAACCTAGAAATATGATCACAATGACTTGATGGGAAAAGCAGTTGTAGGACATGGAAAAGGAAGAGAAGTCTTAAAAACAAGTTTTACTCTATGTAGCAAGTTCAACTAATTGTCATTTGTCAGAACTTGTATCTGTTTTGTTGTATTATATATTCCAAGACTGCAGAATCCCACGTTTTCCCCCCAAGCTAGAACAATCCTCCTGGGAGGAGGTGTCTTCTTGCCACATTATCTTCTACCTTACAACCTAAAATACTATCCTGTAAAATCTCTTAATCTAAGGTTTTCCAACAAAGGATGCTACAGCAACCAGAACAGTACGATGCCATTCTGATATCCAGGATGTACATAATGAACCAGGAATCTCATTGTATTTATGGCTGAAACCCAAACCCAACGCAATTTAAACTTTACACTTAGCCCCTTCCTTTACAATTATATTTTGCCATGTGAAAGTTTATTCTGCAGTAGAATTGTAATTGTTCCCTTTGAATTAACAAAAAAAGAAGTAAAAAAAGAAAAGCTTCCCAAGCTTTTCCCCCTGCACAGCACTTCAAGGCTGGTGCCTGCAGCTCACCCAGAGTGAAGAGAACAGCACAGCAAAGCTCTGACAGGAGGGAGGCAGCAGTACAAACCCCGGGCCACCCCTACTGCTCCTCTCCCTGATCAGATTGAGAGGGAAGCATGCCTGTATGTGGCCATAGTCTGAATAAAATTCCCAGAAATTTGGTTTTATTTTAAAAATAAAAATCAATATATTACTAAACAATATATATGACATTTAAAGACTAATACAAATAAAAAATATAGGAATTTATGAGAAACCCAGAGAATTTCCAGCTTTTCAGTAGTTGGGGATGGCTCTATTTTGGCTATAATTTTAGAAGATGCCTTGTCGGAGATGAAAAACACTTGTTTGCTCACTCTCTTTTCCATCGTATGCTATCCTCTGGCCTCATCTCTTAGAAACGATACTGGAAGTCCCAGCCCCTAACCCATGACTTCTGCCCCCAGAAGTACTCCTTTCAGCAAGGGGTTTTGCCATCTTAGAACCAGAAAAATACTAAATTGTACTCTAAAAAGCGAACATCTACAACATTCATTAATTTGATTTTAAAAAATATGTGTGTCCTGGTTTACATGCATTTGTGTAGTGTACATAGAGGTGATTGTATACAATAGCTTAAAATGAAGTCTCACTCTTGTATATTGTGGGGTCTGTGAGTGCATGTGGGGTTTTGGGGAGGTGGAAGTGTTCCTGCGGGGGGTGGATAGATGAGGGGGGTGTGGGAGCATGTGGGTGCGTATGTGGATATATGGGGTGTGGGTGGCTATAGGGGAGCTGTGCATAGCGGGGAGGGTGGCTGGGATGTGTGAGGGTGTGTGGGGGTCTGTGCAAGGCGGTGTGGGTACATGTGTATGGTGGGTTGTGTGGGTGCGACTTACCCTACACACACACACACACACACACACACTGGAATACCAGTGCAGCCCTGTGCTCCCGCAGTTCAGCGATGCAGCCAGGAGTCATGTGGTACTGAAACAGTGCCGAGGCAGGAAGGCAGGGAAATGGCTGGGGGTGGGGTGGGGCTGCTGCTTTCTTGCTGGGACTCCCCCTGGGTCCTACTGGCCCTGGCTCCTGTCATCTTTGACAGGCAGCCAGGAGCAGATAAATAGTTTCTAATTTTTTAGGGGTCCCACGGGCCAGACAGAATGACCAGGTGGATTGGATGCGGCCCATGGGCTGTATTTTCCCCACCCGTGTACTAGGGCCACTATTCCATACCCAAATTTCTCTCAGGCAGCAAAATCATGCCACCTGATACTGCAACCAAGTTAGAAAATCCAAGTTCATGCCTTGCTTGTGGTGTCTCACCATATTTCTCTTCTCCTCACTCTTCCTTATGCACCAAGATTCTGATGTTTCTGTCTGAGCCCCACTTGATTTTGATTCCACCTGTTGCTCTTGGTGAGTCAGATATAATAATGCCCCCATCTCACCTCTCTGAAACCACAAAAGAATGAGTCCTGCCAGGTAAGAAGGCATTGATATACTGCAGCATTAGAACACTAAACAAAACCTGGACTCATTTTCTTTCTTCACCAAAGACTATATCCATACACTATGGTTTCATATAACATCTGCCAATGAAGTGTATAAAACCTTAACTAAAAGAATATCACATTTGTTTTAGGTATTTATTCCAACTGATTTAAACCATAATTGAGGTGTTAACAAGGAACATGAGGCCAATGCATTCTACTTTACTTTTGTACAAGTCTAGGAGTACATTAAAATCTCACCTTAAACAACTGAAAATTGTTCTTTCAGTACTACTTAGTTCATGTGGTAATACGATGAATCCACTGCATAGTATGGATAATCCATTTTATTTTCTTTATAAATGGATCATTGAAACCATTTTTCCACCTGCTCTTGGAACATGCTGGAAAAGCACTTGTGAACTAAATAGCTTCTCTCTTGACAAGTTTATATATTGCTTAGAATTATGTAGATTTTTTGGAAGAAGAGACACCTGAATCCAAGGCTATCCCACATCTGCATGTAGAGCAAGAACAGTCACTAACAATAAAGCTACTCTATAAATTTTTAAAACTTCAGATTTCCATTTCTACAACTTTCTATAAACGTTCAGGAATTAAAATAAAAGGTTTTTCTACAAAGATTTCTGGGGGGAAAATCATCACATTTCTTTCACACAAGTTTAAACTCCTTGAAGACAAGTCAGAAACAATCCCAGCTTCAAGAGATCTCCCTAGTCCTGAATTTCACCAATATTTTCATGCGTCTAAAAACAGTTCAACATTGCCACCTTGTGGCTTGGACCGGGCACCATTCATGCTAACCCAGGGTTGTATAAGTGATGCAATATCTCTGTCAGAGAAGGTTCAGGTAAAATAACTAGTCAATGAATAACCATAGCTATAAATAAAAAGGAGACTGAACTCTGAGAACAGAGTCTTTATAGGAGAAACATAAGAAATCTAGCAATGGGCCCATGTAAAAAAATACAATTTCAGATATTTTGTGATTTCACGTTTTTAGTGCTGTGACCCAACCCCCTCCCCCCAGGAAGGCACAATCAGTTTCCACCCACTCGTTTCTCAGTACAGCACGTACTTGCCAACAAGCAATATTTAAGTGTGTGTAAAGTGTCTAGGACCATTTATTTCATTTCACTTTTATTTTTTTTTCTCCTGGAGTTCAGGAAGTCATAGAAATTTAATTAAAAACTATCATTTACACAGATTTTTTCATTGCTGCCTTTCTCACACTGAAGAGATAAGCTTCATAGATTGTGTTTAAGAAGTTGTCATCATTCTGAAAAACAAAATAAGAATGGTTATTGAAAGATAAGAGAGACAGAGCAAAATGATTTTAAGTTCTTGCCATTCCAGGTTCTAAAGAATTTTCTACCATACTCACTCAGACAAAGTTTATGCTAGCAAGGGAATTAATTTTAAAAAAATCCACCTCTGGCTAATACCTCTCACAGAATGTTTACATACATAGATATCAAGAGCAAGAATCTTTCCTTCCTCCTGCCCTGGCCCTCATTCTTATTATCCTATATTTAAGGGTTCTTTTAAGGAGTTTCTTCCCCTCCTATTATTGCAATAATGATGCTGAAGTGTTTTAGTGTGCAGTGGATTGATTTAGTTCCTGATTCTGTTTCCCAAGTAAGGAAATCTCAGCATCTCCTTTGATACTCATTGGACTGAATGATCTTAAACTGCACTGGTTCCTTTGCCCAGGTAGTGTTAGAGCAGGAGTTGTCAAAACTTCTCCATTTTGCACATCATTTTGCAATAAAAGGTATTACTGCGATCCATCTCTCTTTCCAGTGCTGACATGCTGATTGTTTTTTGAAGCTTTTCATTTCACAGAATACCATAGACTGCTCTATACATCCAAGGTAGATAAAAATCAATGATTTAAAAATAATGGATTTTTTATTTAAATCAGTTTTTTAAAATTTAAATAGGATTTTCTGATTTAATTGTAATTTTTTATTTTTTTGTTAAGATGCTTTTTTTTCCTTTTTATATAAAGATAGTTTTAATTTAAGATACGTTATCGCACAAAGATAACATCATGGAATAAGGATTATAACTTCTAATTATATACTATTTGATACAATATATTCATGTAACCTTTTTAGAAATGCTTTATAAATGCATCACAACAGGCCATGGACTGTATTAGGGGCCCATTGTTATGGGGTTCACAGAGGCTCCTCTATAGATTAGTAAAGATTAAAGAAAACCACTCTACCCAATGGGACTCACTGCTTAGTCTAGAAGATCCCATTAAGCATCTCTGTGATGCTTAGTTTCAGTGCTCAAACTGTGGATTTCTCTCTCCAGAGATAACATCCTTGTTAACAGCAGTATATGAAGATAAGTGATAACAGACCTGATTACCAGGGGTCCTGGTTTTCTCTGATAAAAAAAAAAATCCCAAATTTTCTGATTTAACACCCCCTGCAATCTCTACATTTTTACGTGATTAAAACAAAATGCCACTATATATAAACATTGATTTGGGGTTTTTTTTTAAACCAGAAAATTTGGGATTTTTTTTTTTTATCAGGGAAAACCAGGATCCCTGCTGATTACCTACCAATAAGCACTACTCTCTGCATGTTTCTGTACACAGGGTCAAGCCCATACCTCTCTCTAAAAGTGCAAAGTTTCAAGAAGTTAAATGAATAGAGGATTGTTGGGGGTGGAGTAGATCTTGGCAAGGAGGAGTCTGGAGATAAATACAAGGAGAGAGGGGCAGCAGAAACAAAAAAGAACATTTTGAGCACAATTCTGTTGAAATTGCAAAATACTTCTGTAACAACCACTTTGCAGCAGCTGCTCTGAAGAAAGCAGGAGGAACCAAACTAACTCTCCCACAAGATGTGTGATGGAATTCACTAGTGCACTGTTTTGAGTGATATATTGGGAACTGGCCTAATCTGATGACAATTTGTGAACAAAACTGTGACAAAATAGATAGAACTGCCACAGCTAAAGTTCTCAACATTGGGTTAGGAGAAACGTAGAATGCATGCTGACTATCCTGAAGCCTATTTCCATAGCCTTGAACAAAAGTTATGTCAAACAACAAGAATGCATTTTTGGTAGAGAACAATGATTAAATCAAGGCTTCCTGGCCAGTGATTTAAATCATGATTTTTATCAATTTGATTTAAAATCAAATCCACCCTGTATACACCACAGTTTAAGAGCCATTGCTTTAAAACATGGCATTCTTGCAAAAAGTGAAGGAATTGGACAGTGCAAATTAGAAAGAGATACATTAAGTTCATGTAAGAACATAAGACAATAACTAAACTGGTGACACTTCATGGGGAATGTAGGATGCACCTGGGACAACAGCTGCAAGTCAGCAGATAGGTATGAAATTAGCTTTCCATATTAGGCACGGAATGGGCTAACCAGAAAATATTTTTCAAAATAGCCCAATTAGTCTTTGTGGCCAGTGAAAACAATCTGGCCAACACATAGTTTGCAGACAAGACTTCAGAAGATAAAATGCTTAAGATAGTAATTGGTTTTATGTAAAGGTTTTCCCACTAGGACCAAATTTGGAAAAACAGGAGGAACACAACACTCTTCTTTTTAACCACAAACCAGAAGTCCCGAAAGGTATGTGAGAAATGCTTCATAAAATACTTTATCCTGTATCTACTCTTTATTATGTAATCAGAACCTAAAGGCTATGTCAATCTTCAATGATTATGTCTATGATCAGTTTCAATAATACATTGTCAAATAACTCTGACTTACAAATTAGACTCTGATTGGCCCTCTTCATTCATTCCAGATTAAAGGCAGTCCTTTAACATTTAAAACATTCACTTTTTTTAGTTCTCATAGAATTCCATGTCAGACAGAACACTAAAACATGACTCATTCAATTGCATCCTTTGACGTATACCAGCTTGTTTTCTACAAAATATTCCTGAATGTTTTGTCAGTTGAAATTTTAGTAACTCTGGCAATAAGAGTTTCATCACTTTGACTGCAGAAGTGCTTCTTAATGAACCTAACCGGTACATTTTTCTGGACAGCTAAGACATATTTTTACTTGCCCATCTTCATCCCATTTTTTTTTATTCCTCCCTGAACTTCTGCCCTTAACATGAGCCTCAACTATTTGAAGACTAATGTCGTATCACCAATTATTCATCATTTAGTTAAGTTGTGCGTGTGTATTGCGCATGCTGTTTTCACCTTTACTCACAGACCAATCCCTTGAAGCCTTTGATCATCCTTGTTCTTTACCCTGAACCCCTTCAAATTTATTGTTCATCTTTCTTGAACTGTTGCACCCAACACTGCATACATTAATCAAAAGGCAGTTAAGCCAATGCTGTGCAAAGGACTGTTATCTCCAGAATATGATGTAGTGCTTCCTTTAAATACAGCCAGAAATAGCATAATTTCCAATGCACATTTTAGCATAGCATTTAGCCTTCAGACAAATGGATCTAACCAATTATGCAGCAGAAGTATGTAAATCAAAAGCAGAATAAAGGATGTAAGCAACAGGGAAACACTTCTGACTTTACCTGGATCAGGTGTAAAAGTGTTTCCTGCAGCTGTATCTTAGTCATTGGGTTGTTGTTTACCAGAGATGGCTCCAGGTTCTGCATAGGCAGGATAAGGCTACCTGAATTGGCAGCTGGTTCTTGGTTTGAGGGTGGCAACCGCCCACTTTCATTTGCTTTTGGTGGAGCAGGCGTGGACTGAGTGAACACCATTGGAGACATCAAGAGCGTAGGAGTCACTGTCGCAGGAATGCGCTGAGGTGAAATGACCTGACCATACAAAAATGAACACACAAAGGCATCATATAAATGGTGTATTCATTTACCAAGAATACAGGAGTAAGGGTGAAGGGAGTCCCAACCTGCAGCAGTTACACAAGTGTATATGCAAGAATTAGGATTACTTGGGGCCCAGAATCCTCCTGTTACAAATCCTCCTTTATTAGCTGTCCATTTCTAAGTTAATAGGCTCCTCATCCAACTGAAGATTGTAATACTGAATCTTAAGTGTAATTAATTCCCTATAACAAACCAATACAGTTTATTACAAAAGCAGTTTATTTCATAAATTTGATTATTAGTACTGTAGAGGAATGACAAACTGCAACAAAATCCTTAAAGGTCCACATCCCTAGGTTTGGTCTTTGAGAATAATTGCCTGTATCTGAGCATATTTTAATAAATGGAATAAGTGGAATGGAAAACATTGAGGTAATTCTCTAAGAGTTCCACTTCCTTTTATATCAGTCTAACCAAGGAGTAACATTACTGATTTGAAAGTAGAGTCTGTACCTTAAGGTTTTACTTCTTTTAATTTTGGGACACATCTGGAACTTTTGAATGTGCAAATGCTAATAATGCTGGTAGGAATAAGTCAACAAGGCAAGTACTATTTAAATTTTCTTCACACAACTCTAGTAATGGATCTTAATTCTAAACTGCAGCTTGTCTTACTGTTCAAGTGTCAAGCACCACTTGTGAGACTCTCAGTGGGAGCATTATCATCACAGGTTTTATTGTGTGTGTATTTTTCAACATAAAACAAGTTTCTTTAGGAATTAACATGAGACACCAGTTGCTTTACTTGGACTGGAGGCAGGATTATTGTTCAGCTGTGCATAGGTAAAGTGTTACTGTAACAGTCTCAGTTTGCATCTCCAACATGTAGAGGAAAACTAAATAAAAAATGGGAGCATAATGATGCAGATGGTACATCTGACAGGTATCCTGCAATCACAAAATAAGGTTATTTAATTAGACAATATTTCTGTTTTGGTACCTCTTGGCTTGCTCTAGTCTTATATATTTTCTATTTTACAGGAACGTAAGAGTGTGCTACTGTGATCAAAGCTGTGACAGTCCAAAAGTTATGCAACAGGCAAGGATTTCTTAGAGTGATATTTTTTATTGGACCAGCGGGGTAGCTGGGATAGAGTTAGATAAACTTTTGAATGCAAGAAGTAATCTGATGAACATGTTGCATTCAAAAGCTTGTCTAACTCTATCCTAGCTACCCTGTTGGTCCAATAAAACATTTCACTCTAAGAAATCCTTGTCTCTATTATTTCATCTAAGATATTTGTGGGACACTGTCAACTACAGCATGTAAACACTTCAAAAATAAAAAAGGATTGAATTCCCATGCTGATTCACAGTACTATATTTACAGTAGGAGAAACACTGTAAAAGGATTTGTAAATACAGAAAAGCAGTCAACATGCCTGCTATGCAAACAGCTACTAATAACAACACTGTTTGGTAAATATTACTTTTCTGCTTTTCGAAGCTACGCTTTTTTAACAAGAAAAACTATTCACCTGCCATTCTTATTCCCTGCATGACGTCTAATCATAACAGAAACAACCAGTTCTGTGTTCTGTGCACATGAATGGCAGTTTCTCTCTCTCTCTGGGCTCCTCCAGGGCTTGGAATACGGGTGGCCTCCAGTGGTTCTTATTACTGGTTCTTTTATAAAAGAATGACTAAGAGTGGCAGAGATCTTTCTAGCTAAAATGAAAGTATCATGCTTCTACACAATGCAAGTGTCTGGTTCTTAACAAACAAATCAACCAAATAAACAAAGCAATCTTTTGGCTATACAGACTCTAAGGAATAAAACCCTGAAAACAAAACAGAAAACATGGTGTGTTTTTAACAGCGTGGACTTATTCTACTTATAAATATGCAAATATGATGTAGTAGAATCGGTAACTGAAGAATGGCTTGCTTTTTATTAGAACAGACAAAACAGAAGAAGCTACGTATAGTATAGTAAGCAATGCTGCCATCTACCGGTGACGCAGCAAACTAATAGTTACAGGCTAAAACAGTATTTAAAATCGTTGTCTAAAATAGAAAATGTATACATCTATTTTTTGATAAATGAAATCCTGATTTTGTGTATAACAACATTAAAAGTCAATATTTTATTAACAAGTGAGATGGTGCTTTCACAAGCTCTAGCCCTTAAGTAATTTCTTTACACAAAACAGGGTGATCTTTCCATTTAAACCAGTGATTCTCAAGCAAAGTGCTGGAGCACCCTAGGGTACCTTGAGATCCATTCAAGGATGCAGTGGGGTGCCACACAATGTTAGCATTGTTAGGTGGGGGAAACATGATTCACAAGATAAATCCAGAGATATCAAATAGGAATTCACAGTGTTAAAAACATTCTACCCTGCTGTGGTCTGAGTTCTTTGTAACAGAATTGCTCTACTATTTTTCTGTAGTCAAAAATGATTGAAAACTAAGAGCTGTCAGAGGTGTCTTGAGTTTGAAACAGTTGAGAAACACTGGTTTAGACATTTAGTTTGGGTATCTCTTGGTTAGTGGTGAGACGAATATGGTCTACAGCCTTCTGCAGTTCTAGTAGCAATGCTAGATTTTGACTGTTACTATTACTGTAATCTTTTTATGCTTCCTGCAGTCTTTTATTGACAGTGCTTACGAAAACAGAAAGGGTAATGGAGAGGTTTGAGGTAAAACACATATCAAATGGTTTCCTAACTAGCCCAGGCATCAGTGGCAAAAGTATTCCAAGGTCAGTTCTGCAAACCTAGTTGGCAAGACCAGTTTTGCAAACCACTTTGTCAGTCATCCGCTTCTTTTAGTTTCCGAATAATTTCCTCACAAGGACAAAACAGCACTCCCAAAAATATTGCTGATACAATCTGACTCAAGTTGCTTGTTTACTCAACATTCATTGATTTATCTTCAGCTTTCCCAGGTGAAGACTTAAATCTCTGACTCACCAACATTACAGCAGGATCTTACATTGCCAACTGTACAGCATTGCAACAGGGCAATGAAAAAAATCCACGAGGCTGCGGCAGCATATAGCACTCCTGCTTCTCAAGTACTCACTTAAATGTCTTTAGTTAGTATCCAGCAATACTACTGGCAGCTGGATGACATGGTACTTAGTGAATTTACATTAGATTTTTTGAAGCTGAGAATGTGTTAGAACACTTGTAATGTAAATTGGAGCCCCCATCTCTCACTACCTGCTTGGAATTCCATGTCCATCAGACAAGTCTCTTAGAGCATTAGTAGTCAGAGTAGGAGCTGTGGATTTCTAGCATTCTTAGTAAGCATCACTTAGAATTTGTTTAAGCATTTTTAGGTGAAATGTTTAAGTAGAGTTATTGCAAAGATCTAGTTATTGACATCATCAGTACAAAGATACTTTAATCAGTACACCAGTTATCTGCAAATCTAGACCATTTTCCCATTGAGTTCATCGGGAATTCAATCTCTGGCCATCAAATTTAGCTATCAGCCAGATACATTATTCTTACCCTTCAGAACCATGCCTTAAATATTCATGACCACAGATAAACTGTTATCATTCTCCAAATAGCTTGTATGGTTTAAAAGAATCTTTTGTGAAAGGAATATACTTTCCACCATAAATGCTCCCTAGGGTGTTTTCATGAAATATACTATAATACTATACTACAAGACAGATTAGTGTCTTTCCAAGTTTAATTCAGAATTTTTAAATTCATATTTACTGTATCTTAAATTTTAAACATTTTACATGTAGCTAGTTAAGAATACTAGATATATCCTTGCTGAGCATTTTTGCTACCACATGTAGGAGTGGTAATCAAGATAAACCATAAGAATTGGCATGACTCAGATTTGTGATCCTAAGTATCACATTTATTTCTATGCAGAAAAATTCCTTCTATGGGAGGAGTGTTACTTATGTAGGGTACACCCAAAAAGTAAAAAAAAAAATGGTTTACTGAAAATAGGATAAACTGATTATCTGAAAAAATGGCAAGGATATTGTGCTGTAGTAAGGATACTTCCCTGAATCAGGCTGGTACTAGACAGAGTGTTTCCTTTGTAGATTTGAGCATGATTCTGGTCAGCTTGCATTAATTTCTTTTGTAAGAGGTCTTTTCTTTCAATGTGGGAGCACAGCTCTTATACCATATGGAGATGCATCACAAGCCAATTTAAAAGCAAGGCTTGTAAAGTATCAGAATTGTTTGTGAGAAAATGTAAGCCAGTCTCCTTCTTGCTCAACAAATCTTGTGTGCACCTTAAATAACCTTGTCATTTTTTCAGTAATGAAGATGTTTTCTAGGTAGCATTCTGTTTTTGGCAGACCTTGTAGTATTTGCTTCACTGAACTTTGATTGATAGCAACAGAAGATGCAATGCCGAAAGATAAACAAATATAGGGAACAGACCTTTGGATGCATGGATTGTCAGGATTTGCTTTGATTGATTTTGCATGAGCATGTGCAAATGTGTACACCAAATCTATTTCACAGATGTCTATTGCCAGGTAGGGTGGCAAAGGAGTTTGGTTTATCAGCTAATACGCTGGTAACCATTAGTTCAGGACTGTGTGAGATTATACTAATTCATTTATTTTTCCATCTTGTACAGTCCTGAACTAACGGCTACCAGCATATCGGCTGATAAAACCAATCTTCAGGCTGTCCATCTGAATCTTCTTGAGCCACATTCTGTTATGCAAAACAGGATTCAGAGTTGTAATGGCTGTTACAGCTTCTTACATATATTTGCAGTAATAACCACAGTGGTGACTTCTCCCTGTCAATATGCTTCTGCCAGTATCTATTTCAATCCAGAACTGCATCCTTTATCTTTGGTTTACCTGGGTATCACCATCACCAGCATTACTTTATGGAGGGGTTTGTCACCCATTGTCTCTCACCTCTGACCGCCACTGCCACACATTTGCATTTTCACTGACATGCATTCTTGTATACTGGTTTCTATCCCAT